CATGAGCGTACATGCGTTCAGTCCCTCCCTCTCGGCTGGATATGATGGTGTTGCAGGACTGGGAACAACAGCCAGAACTGGCCTCTTATCTTGAGGAGAGCCTGTGAGAAAGACAGAAAAAACAATCCTGAACAGACATAGATAAAACAGTGTTTAATGGGAAAAAAAGATAAAAGAGTATTTGAAATAATTATTATTTATTTATCAAACTGTTTCACTGCAATGATTATGACTGGTTAAATAAAATACAAATACATTTCATATATTACATTTTAATTTATATTCAAATAAATAAAGTAAATATTGATAAATAAATAAATAATCTTTTATGTATAAACACATTTATTACAAATTACTTTGAAAATTGGCACAACAAGGACCATTATTTGTTCAGTATTTTTCATCATCGCTTTTGCAGTATGTGCGTATATATGCTGATATTGTTATTGACCAAAAAATATATATATTAAAAATACTGTGATATAGTTTTTTGCTTATGTCACCTCCCTCTCGGCTGGATATGATGGTGTTGCAGGACTGGGAACAACAGCCAGAACTGGCCTCTTATCTTGAGGAGAGCCTGCGAGAAAGACAGAAAAAACAATCCTGAACAGACATAGATAAAACAGTGTTTAATGGGAAAAAAAGATAGAGTATTTGAAATAATTATTATTTATTTATCAAACTGTTTCACTGCAATGATTATGACTGGTTAAATAAAATACAAATACATTTCATATATTACATTTTAATTTATATTCAAATAAATAAAGTAAATATTGATAAATAAATAAATAATCTTTTATGTATAAACACATTTATTACAAATTACTTTGAAAATTGGCACAACAAGGACCATTATTTGTTCAGTATTTTTCATCATCGCTTTTGCAGTATGTGCGTATATATGCTGATATTGTTATTGACCAAAAAATATATATATTAAAAATACTGTGATATAGTTTTTTGCTTATGTCAGAAATTTGCAGTGAATTTATTGTGATATATATTGTTGTCAACCAAAAGCTTACATTTTTGGCTGACATTGCCCCATCCTAGATTGGAATGGTTTTTATTATGATTTTTACAATTGCAAAATTAAAAAAATGTATAGACTGCTGTGGAGAAATATTGTAGTATTGTATATGTAATAGTTGCACAGAAAACAAAACAAAAAAAAGTGTAAAATGTGTGTACAACTAATGTCCGTTAAAAAATAAGCACTCATTATCTCACCGAAAAGATTTTATGATCTAAATTTGTCAAAATCCAGTAATTGCTTTTACCTAAAACACTCATTTTGTATCAACTCAGCACCTTGCAAACACATCTTTGTTTACTGTCTGACTGATAAGCAAAATGCCTGTGCCCCGACTCATGGGAATTACAAAGTAAACAGGTGATTTCAGATAGTTATATTTGTGTGCATTTAGCATCAGATAGTCAGTAAACAGACCGTGAATGCTCCTCACCCTCTTTATCCTGTCCTGCAGACACCTGAACGGCTCTCTCCAGATCCTCACACATCAGCTTGGACACGCGGGACAGGACGTCTGTGACGGGCGTCAGCTTCTCCTGCACGCTCACATGCACATCCAGAGGAACGTCACTGAAGTGTGGGACCTCTATGAACCTGGAGTCCTGCATCAGCACACAAACACAGACATTAGACAAACATTACACCTATTCACATGTAACAACATTAACAATTAATAATAAAACAATCATATCAAAATTTTGAATATGACTGATATTAATATAATTGTATTGACAATAAATAATATTTTCCCCCTAAAAAACAACCTTTGTATCATCCAAAGAAAAGTTGAAAACAAGCATATATATATTTTTCTATATAATAACTTGAATTGATGTTAAAATAATTTATTTAAAAAGAAAATGGGGCCATTTTTTTTTTACTTTTTTTATTTATTTCTTTATTTTAGTTTGTGATGCACATTTCTCAAAATAAATAAATAAAAAGCATTAAATTAAATAAAAAATAAAACAATAGCATTATAAATAAAACAACTGCAAAATAAAATAAAATAAAATAAAATAAAATAAAATAAAATAAAATAAAATAAAATAAAATAAAATAAAATAAAATAAAATAAAATAAAATAAAATAAAATAAAATAAAATAAAATAAAATAAAATAAAATAAAATAAAATAAAATAAAATAAAATAAAATAAAATAAAATAAAATAAAATAAAATAAGACCTTGATGAGCTGGCAGGGAGGGAGGGAACACAGGCTGCTGATCTCCTCCTGAAGGGCTGCGAGCTGCGCCGCTCTCTCCTCCAGAACAGCCAGCCTCTCCTGAGCCTGCAACAGTGTCACTTCCTGCTGCTGTTCCAGAAAAAGCTCTGTCACTTCCTGTTTCTCTGTCAGCACCTTTATCAGCTGTGAGAACTTGGTGTTCACCCACTGAGACGTCTGCTGTAGTGATACCTGACAGAGCAGAGAGAACAACATGCTAAAACACACACACGCCATGAGCAGTGATGCTACTGCTTTCTAATTCAATATACATCCTTCAAGACTATTCCCTAATATATGTGATTAAGGCCAGGCTTTGTATTAATGTATGATTCAGTTTGTGTAGATTTGTGGGTATTTTCTCTAAAAAGATGCCAATACATATTTTGTATTATTATTGTTAGTGTAATATGTATTATATATTGTTCATGTTAGTTCATGTCAGGTCCACTAAATAATATTAACAGATACAACGTTTAATTTTAATAATGTATTAGCAAATGTTAAGATTAACATTAATACATTAAATAATAACAATAAATTATAATCTAATAACGTTTTTATTCAGTTCATGTTTACTAATGTATTTTACTTATTGTAACCTCATTGTAAAGTGTCACTATAATGCCATATGGATTTGGATATGCATGACATACATTCATGTTTGGATAAAGTTCCTAATGAATAAGGTAATGATGGCAGACGTCTTGCCTTCGCTGTCTCCGTGTTCTCCATGAGCTCCTGCCGGTTTCTCTCAGTGGTTTCCTGGTGTTTCTTGAATTCTGCACTCTTTTTCTTCAATTCTGCCTGCACAGAAAATCTTTATATATAAAAAATAATAATAATAAATGTCCTACAAATTCTTAAAAAAGTCAGCTACGACATATACAGGTTGAGCCTCTCAAAATGTGTTAATATATTTCACTCTAATATTAAAGAGAGAAAAAAATAATAATATTTTGCATAAAGAAAATATAGCATTGTGACATTATTGCCATTTCTGGAAATTGCTAGTAAAAATTTTGCATTATTTTCAACTCAAATTCTCATTACTGTAATGCAAAAACATATGATATTATTAATAATTATATACTATTTAAACTATACTGTATTTGTATGTCAATACAATATTACCTCCCTATTCTTCCGTTCTTCTACCACCAAAATCTTATCATGGCCCTTGCACTCGTTGACAGAGCACTCATAGCAAACACACATGCTGTCGTTCCTGCAGTAGATGACCAGAGGCTTCTGGTGCCGCTCACAGATCTGCTCTGGCTCCGGATCCGTGTGCACGGAGGCTCCTGCGCTCACATCCGTCTTAACTGGACTGTGTATGCTGATCTCCGTTAACATCGACAGAGACACGTTGCGATTCAGCTCAGGCCTTGTGTCAAAGTTTTTTTTACAAAAAGGACAGTGGAAGTCTTTGTCCTTCCTATCCCAGAATTTGGAGATGCAGGCCTTGCAGAAGGTGTGACCGCATGGGATTGTCACGGGGCATGTAAATGGATCCAAGCAGATCGTGCACTGCACATGATCATCCATCATAAATCTGGAAACCTGAAAGTATAAAATAAATGAAGCAACAGCGTTAATGTCATTGTTAATGACAGCAGAAAACCTCTATTGGGGCATGTTGTCATAGACAGACACATACAGTAGATAGATAAATAGATAGATAGATAGATAGATAGATAGATAGATAGATAGATAGATA